TAAACAGAACATTAGTCATGCCTCTACTCTTACTCCTCACCTGGATGCAGCTGCTCACCCTCCTCTGTGCTAAAACACTTTGGATTCTTATGCCTGACCAGATTAGCAAATGGCTAATAGTGTGTTGCTAATACATCCCATTCCCGGCTGCCAGTCCTGATGGATTCCACTCTTCAAGTTGATGCAGTCTAGGTCTGTTTACGAAACCTGAGCTGTTTGAATTTGTTCTTAAGGATGCTTAAAGTGTGCAGCTGTTTCATGCATAAATGCTGAGCTGTGGCTTGGATGTATTAGTTATAAAAGGCCTTTTTACAGAAAGAATCCACAATTTTAGACATGGTAAAGTAACTATGGGTGCAATTTTAATTGAAATCCATCTGTTTGGATGCCTTTGTTCTACCTGTTGCACAGAGTGCTGACTCATCAATAAACAAAATTTTAGTATTTCTACAGGATAAGCAGCTGGTAACCCAAACTCATCTTAAAGAACCAAATTAGGTCCACCATCATGTTCTATCAGCATAATATTGTCAGTAAAACCACTCACACAAGGCTTTTTCATAATCACAAATACCTTCTAATTAAAAACAAGATCCAAGTATGTTTGTCTGTATTCTGTCTGAGGTTAAAGTAGAATGAAAAGCTCAACTTTAAGGCTCCTTTCAGTGGTTGTCTGTGAGGTCAGTTTCTTCAGTCGGTTTTGGCCTGCTCCACTTTATGTGCGAGTGAGTGAGGTACAAGGAATTATGTGTAAACTGCCACGGAGATGAAATGTGAAACCTGTCAGCCATTCACGTCCCCCATTACAAAGATAGGCTCAGTGTCCGTGTAAGGTTAGGTTGGGGAGAGCCTGCTGGGTGGCGTGTTTCATGTGCCAATGTCTTCCACCAGCATCATATGTCTGCTCTATCCTCCAGAATTGATCACACACACACACACAGAGTCTACAATGGTTGTCACTGGAGAAGCTCTGCACCTTCTTTGGCACCTGAAGGGTTAATGGTAGCCTCAATCTCTCTCCTCTCTGTCTCTCTCTGTCTCTCTCTCTCTCTCTCTCTCTCTCTCTCACACACACACACACACACACACACACACACACACACACACACACACACACACACACACACACACACACACACACACACACTAGTCAACCGGCTTAAACCGGTTCCCAGGAAAAGTGCTTTGTGCGTCCCACTGAATCCTGGGAAGGGTCATGTCATGTGTCTGTGATGTCAGAATATCACATCATTGCTCTACATGCTACATTGATGCACTGAGTGTGTGTGTGCGGTGGCACTGTATAGGTATGCCATGAATACACTAAGTGTTTTTGGTACTCGTTGACGTAACTACTTTGAGAACAGGAAGAGGAGGGGGCAGAAATTTGCCTGGGTGTGTAGAGGCAGCCCAGATTGCTTGGGTAATTGCAGCCATTTTTCTACCTCCTCAAAAAAATCATAGTTTCCTGTAAGCACGGGGCATGCCTCAACAGATTGTCAGGGCTGGGTCTTTCAGTTTTTTAAAACCAGCTCAGTGAACTCATAAAGTTAATCCAAATAACAACCACACAGATTTGCTCCATATCCAGTGACTAGTTAGATGCTTTTTACTGTCGCTTGTGCTTTCTGTTTGACATTTTGTGAAGGTTTGTGAGATTTTGTCTCATCCACCATAAAACCCTTATATGTTCACCATCTTCTGGACACAAAAACCAGTTCAGTTCATTTTTATTTCAAACATTTCAAACATGTATCATCACAAAATATAATTCTGTTATTTGTTTGAAAAGGAGTAGGCAGAAGTGTTTACTTATTTGTCCCCACCCCCAAGTTTGATTTGACCTCTTATTCATTTAATTTTCTTCAATCTTAAATTAAACAAACAACTGGGGAGAAAAAAAAATAATATATATATATATATATATATATATATATATAAACAAAACACATATGGAAAACAGAATGTGTATATTTGCAGATTCACCCAGTTATGGAGAAAAAAAGAAAAACCAATCTAACCAAAAAACACCAACAAAGGAAGCACATCAGCATAACCAGAACATTACCGTCCTGGGTTAACCCTGTTTTCTTCATTCTTATACTTATTTAAAAATTAGGTTTTTATATTTTACTTTAAACTGGTTTATGTTTTTTACTTTTTTATCTCTTCTGTTCGACTGTTCCATAATTTAACTCCTGCAATTACGATTGACATAATTTGTTCTAGCACTTTGTATTTTTAAATTCCTTTTCCCTCTTAAGTTATACCTACCTTCTCTTTCTTTGAACAATAAACAGATTTCTTTTGGAAGCAATTTCATACTTTATACATTATTTGCGCTGTTTTGAGCTTCACCATGTCTTGGAATTTAATAGTTTGCATTTCGACAAAGAATGCATTTGTATGGTCCCTGTACCCCACATTATTTATTATTCTAATGGCCTTTTTCTGTATTATAGTTATCATTTGTACGTTACTTTTGTATGTGTTTCCCCAGACCTCTACACAGTAACTCATATATGGCAGTAGTAAAGCACAGTATAATATGTGCAGGGCTTTCTGATCCAACATCTTTGCTTTCCCCAGGATGGCAACGACCCGTGCCAATTTCCCCCGGACATAAATAACTGTGTGGCTTCCAACAGAGCTTATGGTCAGTGATCACACCAAGAAATTTTATTTCATTTACTATTTCTAAATATACATTATCCACACAAATTTCTATTTTGATGTTTTTCTTTTGGTTACCAAATAACATAAATCTGGTTTTATCTAGATTCAATGATAATTTATTTATATCAAACCACTTTTTTTTATATTGTTGATTCCTGTGTGATCAACTCCAAGAACTGGCAATTCCACACCTGAACATAGTATATTTGTGTCATCTGCAAATATTACAAACTTTAAATTTTTTGATACTCTGCAGACCAACCCAAGTTATGTATTGATTTTAGCGTGATCTAAATTTCTGTGCAGTTATTTCTGAATTAACTCAGGAGTTAAATCTAAACATGTTTTGCTTTCACAGTTGTGCAATAACCACGCCGCTTGATTTAGTACCTCTGTCCAAGCCACCGGTTGTGAAGCATTATGCATCATTTAATAGGAATGTTGTGCATTTGTAGAATTCAGGCCCCAGTTTTGTCATTTGTGTTGGGAGTTTACCAGTTCATGCACGTTTACTCAAGTGACCTGTTTTTAAAAGTAAATGTGTATATGTGTACTGCAATAAGCAGCAAGTGAAACACCAAAATAAGATTGTGAAGTTCATGTAAATTAGAACGTCAAATAAATGGAAGTAAACCATAATCTGAGTCCTCTTCATGACAGACATGAGGATCTCCATCTCATCATTTTTGGAGCATTGGACAAAACGTGGCAATATCGTTTTCTTGTCTATGTGTGTGTTGTGCCTGTGGACACAAACTCTTAGATTTGTGTTTTACAACTAGACTGATGCTATTTTTGACCTTGAATGTGTTAAACTACTGAAAGTCATTTTTACTTCTACAGAAGGAGAGTGAGTCAACATTTAAATATAGGAACTATAAAGCACATTTTTAGCCAGCCTGTCCACAAATGCCTTTAGAGCTGCACTCCGTCATACAAAAGAAGACAGATGCTCTGTAGAAAAGCACAAGTTATATCGCTGTAAGCGACAGCTCTCATTTGTAAACCTGCACCTCTAGCTACGTAACAGAGCTAAAACACACTTTTTTACAAATATTTTTCTTACATTATGATTACATTACATTACATTTTCAGCTTTATTATATATATATTACCTTTACCAGCTTTATTATATATATATATATATATATATATATATATATATATATATATATATATATATATATATATATGTGTATATATATGTATATATATGTATATATATGTATATATTGTATATATATGTATATATATATATATATGTATATGTGTATATATATATATGTATATGTATGTGTATATATATATATATACATACATACATACATACATACATACATACATACATACATACATTTAATGGGTATCAATATTGGTATGAGCCGATGTATTTTTTTTAACATATCTGTATTGGTCCAATAAATAAAACTGGGCCAATATTAACAACCAATATTTTTTTCCATCTTGTTTCTATTTGTTAATCTGTTTCAAAGGGTGGGGGAGTGGTGTGTATTTGTTTAGTCATGTGACAGTGATTGTAATCATCTCAGAAGCACAAATGTGTGTGGTGTGTGTCCATAATAATGTAAATTCAGCTTTAGTAATTTTCATTCTATACATAATCTGCTCATTTTAGAAGCATTGATGTCAGTAAATCGGTATCGGCAAATATCAGTTATCTACCATAACAGTGATTATTACCATCAGATATCAGTATCGGCCCAAAAATGTCACATCGGTGCAACCCTAATATATATATATATATATATATATATATATATATATTTAATTAATTTAATTAATTTTATTTTTTCTTTATGCAGCGCATTGGTGTTACTTTGTACCTGTAAATACAAAGATGGCCTTGACTTGACTTAGCATAACCGTTCCATGTTTCGTCGTGTCTGCAGCTTTGTAAACAGTCACCAGAGTTTTTCCTGCGTTCAAATTTGTGTGGCGGCTGCCTCCAGCTATTTCTGTGCCGCCCCAGCCTGATTTCACTCTGCCCCCAGCTATATGGATGTTATTTTAACTACAGTTGCAGCGTTGTGCCACCATAGAAGCTCTGTATCAGCAGCGGAAAGCGCTAAAACCGCTGCAGAAAAAGATCAAAAATTGCTTTTCTCGCTAGTTGGTACATATCTATGGTTGGTGCTATTGTAGGCTGACCATACGTCCTCTTTCCCCAGGACATGTCCACTTTCCACTCTTTGTTCGGGGCGTCAGAGGGGGTTTCCTACATTGATCAAAATGTCCGGTTTTTCATCCAGGAGTAGGGATCGAGTTATGGGGGCTAGATGTATTTCAGGGAAAGGTTCAGTTTCTGCCTATATTACAATATTTATGGACTCTCAGCGTAGCGAGATTCTGTTGAGCGGAGAGGACGCAGAGCGCTGATCGTTGGTGCGCCCGCTGCGTCCGGCGCATGATACATTCTCAAGGTAGCGCAACAAAATCTTATTATTAACACATGATCGTTCATATCTGTTTAAATCCTCTGGTACTCTGTATTTTACTCGTTCCTGACGCGCTCCACTCATTGTGTGCTGCAGGGATTTCACCTCACTGACGCAGAAACGCGCACTCCGCTTTGCGGTCAGGAGATCCCTTTGATCTGCTCAAAAGTAACTGATGAGGTGAAAAAGTAAGAATCCAGGCAGCAGTTTTTCTAGAGAATTTAGAGGAGATGCAGGAAGATGAGAGACAGACAGGGCAGGAAAATAGTTAAATAAAAACAAGAAAACAAAACAAAGTGTTGAAAAGTTAAATGTAGGTAGATTTATCTCCACTACACGTTTTTAGCTGTATGAAGTAATATGTAATACACATGTCATATTTATACATCAGATACAATTCAGATCACCTTCTAAGCAAAGTCACACTGCCAGGGCCATTTCAAGGCATTTTGGGGGCCAAGGCAAAACAGACCCCCCCCCCCCCCCCCCCCCCCACCACCACCACCACCACCACCCACCCTAACCTGTACATAATAGACATGCCACCATTACATTGTTAGCAGCAGAAATTAAATGTTATTACCATTTCCAATACAAATGCATGTTAATGAAATGCATTATATTTTACTGGATATATTTATGTGTTATTTTGACTAAGATGAGTGGTATTAATACAAACCTAAAATGTTACTGAAATGTAGGTCAAATGTTTAAAAATATTTTTAACTATAAATATCAGATGGGGAAAGGGGAAATAAACACAAATCTAATGCGTATTATTGAGCCTTTTATAATATTTTGCCTTTTAAAAAGTGAGGCAGTTGAATGCACAGAGCATGCTTGTGCTGGTGCATGGTCAGGATGGTACCACCTCTGCCTCAGTTTGAGCCAGGAAAAACCCTAGTCACTCAGGCTAGGTACTTCCGCAAATGCAAATGCGCTCTGTCTGTAGCGGATGTGTAACAATACTGGCAAATGCAGGGTTAATGATGGGAGGAGGTAAAGTAAAATTGTCTGGGGCTCAATGGGATAGTTATCAGGCTTAGCAAAAAAAATAAAACGTATGTCACAGTACGATTACTTTTAAAGATTTTTAAACATACATAAGGCTTGAAAATGGGAAAAACACCAGTTTGCTGCTTTATTTTTAATATATCTATTGATATAAAAAGTGCTTCAGACCTAAGCTGCCACAACCCTTAACTGTAGATAGATAATGGGTGGCTGACTGGCCTCCTTGTGACTTGACTGAGGAACTCATAGGAGCTTCTGTCAGGGAAACGTGTGACATCGTGTACCATTGTGTCTGACACAGCGAGCTGCTGTGTGTCTTCACATCCAGTCCTGTTGACCTGCCAGCATCTGATGGGACTGCATCTGCTGCACAGAGAAGCAACTGATCTGATGTTTTTCAACATAGAAAGAAAGGGTGGAGAAAAGATTCCCATTGGACGTAAACTACAAAAACGTGCAGGTTATGGAATGTTAAAGTTTGATACTGTGCATGTCTAAATGTTCTCTAAATCACTTCTAACCCGTTTTATAATCATTTAACGTTACCATGACATTTTGAAAGAAATTATTCACAGATTTGTTTTTATTTTTCATCCATAACTTTTATTTATTTATTTTTTTTGTAGTTTAGACTGAAATTTAGATAATTGGATGTTTCATAAGTCAAAATCATGTGACCATGATAATCCAGCGTATTTTGTCTGGGGGCCATTTTAGTCCGACTCTGTAGCCTCCTGTTGATTCAAGGTCAGTTTTGTCTGCTGCTGTGTGTAATGATAGGTGCACAATCCTAGCAGGCCTCCGAGTAAAAACAATAATCATAATGTTAAAGGTAAGTAAACATTAAAGTATGTTATCACAGTAACAGTAAAAGAAAAACATTCAAAATACTGTTAGAATATTGAGCTTTATTTTAATGACTATCTATATTTTAATAACTTTATCTATCTATCTCTTTATCTCTCTCTCTCTCTCTCCAGATATACATCTAGATAGATAGATGACAATGTCAGGATTCATCAGGCTCAATAGTGAAAGAGTGGTTCAGGGAGCATGAGACTTCATTTTCACACATGGATTGGCCACCACAGCACTTAACCCTATTGAGAATATTTGAGATGTGCTGGAGAAGGCTTTGTGCAGCGGTCAGACTACCATCATCAGTGCAAGATCTTGGTGAAGCATTACTGCAACACTGGATGGAAATAAATCCTGTGACATTGCAGAAGCTTATCGAAACAATGCCACAGCGAATGTGCGCTGTAATCAAAGCTAAAGGCGGGCCAACGAAATATTAGTGTGTGACATTTTATTTGAGTGGCGACTTGTGTTTTGGCCAGGCAGTGTATAACATATGTGGTCACTTCACAAAATTAAAAAAATATGTATGTTCACTGCAAATAGCCACAACAATCCAGATTTCAACTTTTAAAGAGATTACAGTTATTCATTTACACCTGTGGGTGGCAGAGTCAAGTATGCTCGCAAAAAGGAATGTGACAAAATCACGCCAAGTTAAACTGGGATCATTTTATTTGGAGACCAACAGATTTACCTGCATAAATCAGCTGATTGTGAGTGTTAAAATACTTTTTCTTTTTTCTGCTCTATGTATTTTTAACTTCTTCAACCTTCAACTAAGTCACGCCCATCTACTTCTAGACCATAGGTCCCCTACTGCCAAATAAAATGAATGGGACTCTATGGGCCAAAAAAAAGAAGCTATTTTCTGATCCTGTTTGATGTGCGCCATGGATTTCACATATGATGTCTGTGAATTTTAAACACATTTGATGCCAAGAAAGTGCATTTTTTAGGTTTTGTTTGAAAAGATGTAACAAACTACAAATGTGTGTCTCAACAAATTGACGTCATTGAACCAGAAATAGGTGGTAAGTAGAAGAAAATATCATTTCTGTAGCGCCTCTCAAGATAAAAATCACGAGGCGCTTCACAAAAACAAAAAAATGTAAAAATATAAAAAAGAATTTAGAAAATGATTAAAAATATATTTCAAATGAGCAAAAAATAGACAATTGTGATTTAAAATGTAAAGAAAGAGAGAGAGTGGATAGGAAAGAGGGAAATCAGTGGATCCTGAGGAAGGTGGAATAGGTGGGGAGAGCAGAACAAGGAGAGGGTGATGAAGGTCATACAAAAGCCAGCCTGAACAAGTGAGTCTTCAGCTGCTTTTTGAAGAAGACCACTGAGTCCACTGATCTCAGGCTCAGGGAGAGAGAGTTCCAGAGTCTGGGGGCCACAGCAGCAAATGATCTGTCACCTTTGGTCTTTAGCCTGGTGCGCTATACAACCAGTAGGCTTTGATCACTGGACCTCAGGGACCTGCTGGGTAAGTAGCAGCTACACTAAGGGAGAAGAAGTTCTGTGGTGGTATCATATATGCGACGTCTAATTTTTTGTCATTTTAATTGCCAATTTTTACAAGCTGATGAATCTTCGATTACCTGATAAGACACAGTAGAAACACACATCATTACTTTGCATTTAAATTTAAGTCTGTGTGATTCAGGGTGCGGGGCAAAGTGGACCACAAAATGAGCCGAGAAAGAGACTTGAACCCTTGTGTGTGTGTGTGTGTGTGTGTGTGTGTGTGTGTGTGTGTGTGTGTGTGTGTGTGTGTGTGCGTGTGCGTGTGCGTGTGCGTGTGCGTGCGTGAAAAAAAAGTTGCAAACAAAACGAATAAATAAATACTGTACAAAAAAGTAGCTGTAAATGAGATAAAACTTTGTTATATTGTTGAACAATTCAGGTGATATTTTGTTTTTTTCTGTGTTCAGGGAATGTCTGAGGAGGCTGTCCGCCAGACACGCAGCCAGAAGAGGGCGCTGGAGAGAGAGGCTGCTCCACAGTCTGTGGAACACCCCAACACTGACATTGAAAGCAAAAAGCCCAAACTGGACCCGTCTGAACCTACAACAGAGTTACAGACTAAATCTAAGCCAGGTCTTTTACTGGCAGAGAACGATGAGAGCCGGACTAGATCTGAATCAGACAAAGCGCAGGAGTCGGAACAGAACCGGTTTCCATTACCTTTAGAGTTGCCTTTGGCTTTCTCACCAACGAAGGATGATCAGGATCGGACACAGAGACAGCACACAGTTGAGCCCAGCCTGGACAATTGGACCGACTGTAATGACAAAGCCAACAAGGCGAGGACGGAGCCGGCTATGGACACACCGAGCCGGGTTCGGCAGACGGAACCGAAGGTATTCACTGGCATGCTGGCTGCAGGAGAGGTGAAGGCCACCATTAAAGTAGAAGTTCAAACTGAGCAGCCAGTGGATATGAGCACCAGCAGAGGGTGAGAAGCTGCACACAAACCAGTGTTACCAGTGAAAATGTTCACACTGGACAAGAACCAGTTCCTGGAAATGTTTCTGCTTCCTGGAATGCAACAAGAGAAAGAGTTGATGTGCTTTAGGCTAAACCTTCTCTGCAGATTTATGAAATAAATTTAACTTTTATAACTCAGCAGCACCTGACTGGTCAGCTGTTACAACCCCAGAGTGGCGTCGTTTCTCTTGCTTTGGAAAGCTGCCAGCTAGCTACCTGTGTTGACTTTGGGCCGTAGATCCACGCGTATGGAAATTCACTCAATGATAAACTAAGCTTCATTTGAATATGAAGAGATGTAGATGTGCAGGAAGGGCAATTCTTGTGTGTGTGTGTGTGTGTGTGTGTGTGTGTGTGTGTGTGTGTGTGTGTGTGTGTGTGTATGCGGTGGTGGAGGGGGGTTGCATCTTTTTAGACCTACCTCCATTTTCCCTCTCCACCTGAACCCTAAAAGCTCCCCTTGCACAAAATGAAGTCGTGTGTCACAAACTGGTTCCAGCCGGTTGTTGCCATAGTTTCCACAGTAGAACAGTGGGGGGGAGTAAATGTGTCACGTGATGAAGACTTTGAGGTCATGTGACTTCTTTGGAAGAGTAGTGATTAATCCACAGGAAGTGATAATGGTGCTAAGCCCCGAGGAGAGATTAGAACACACACACATGCACAAATAATTGTAGATTCACTTCAGAGGTGTTTTAGCGTCACAGAAATGCATAATGTTTGCATTTATGAGGTCATCATTGCTTTTGGAGAAACATTATTTCTGAAACTTGGGTTTTTGAGCAGATGAGAAAAATGAGTGATGTAAATCCTGCAGCTGAACTTGGGAGTGTTGATAGGACATTTGAGGAAAATACTCATAACGATGTCCTCACTGTGAGTTTTTTTTTTCAGTCTGTAAGGATAACTGGTTTAATTTTGTTAGCATGCTTTGTGTGACATGATTAACCCTGTGCCGGTCTCTCCCAGACGCCTGCTGCGGCATCCTGTTACAAAACGAAAAACACTCTCCACATAGGCATTTCATTGTGACTTAAAGATACTCACTGGAGCTTTAAGCCCTGCTTTGCCCCTTTGTGGCATTAAAATCTATTGGCCTAAAGAGGAGGGAAGCAGTAGAGATGTGTCTGGACTTGTTGGATCATAGAACAGCAGATAAACCTGCCGTCACAAATTAGAACAGTGGATAAGAAGCAGACATAAATGCTAGTCAGCGTTTGAAGAATGTTCACTTGTAGTTTAGTTGTTATTTGGATGACCTTCACTTGGTGAGCTCTGGATCTTTCACCTAAAAAGGTTAAATCAAATATTTCTTAACTTTTTTTTAATATAGAGAGAAACTTTAAAACATTGAATAAAATGTTGTGAAACAGCTCCCTGGTATTGAGTTTAAAAGAATGTTGAAGCTGGGAAAGTATTAGTTGTCTTTTCAATGTGGAATCTACACAAAAAAAAAGCAAAACATTTTAGAAATATTCAAAATCATCTTTTTTCACACAAGAAAATCAGATATTTTATGTATTATCATTGCGTTTTTGACTTTACCCATGTCCCCGTTTTGTCCAGCAGTGTAAAAATGGAGAAGCGCCCTCCATCCCCTCACGATGACGACGATGTCATCATCTTGTCCGATGACTCCCCAAGTCCACCGATGAACGGCCTGAGCCACTTCAAAGAGCTGGACACAGATCTGCTCATGGTCAGACAAAAACACAGCGTTTCGTGAGGAGCTATGCTTTGGAGTTGGTTAAATGAATAAATTTTGGTGTTGAAGGGCGGATCTTGTTGAGGAAACACGGATGTGTGCTTTCGTCATTAAGAAACTTCTTGTTCAAAAGTGGTGGGGACGAAACGACCTACATCAGATAGTGGTGGGGACATGTCCCCACCGTCCCCGGCTAAACTGACACCTATGGCTGCAGTTGCGAGCTTTGTTGTAGTCACGCTCAAGGACCTTCATTCAGGATAAAAGATGAGATAAAGTACATGTTGTTGTTTTGTAAGTGATGTTCTGGTCTTTCTTTGGGCGCAGAGGAGCAGCTCAGCAGAGAGGGAGCGCATCATAAAGGAACTGAAGGAGGAGCTGAGATTGGAGGAGGCCAAGCTGGTTCTGCTGAAGAAACTCCGACAGAGCCAAATCCAGAGGGACAACCTGCAGAAGGTGAATAATAATCTTATCTCACCACAGCTGTTGTTTTCTTCACAGTGACTCCTACTGTTCAGGAGCAGTACTGCGGGGTGCTATGAATAACTGCTGTTTTGTTGCCATTACACCCCCCCTTTGTGCAGTGACCACTGAGTGTGGGTTGGTCATGATGTTTCTAGGAATTTTTCTGTTACCTGATTTATTGAATAATAATCAAATCAACTCTGTTTATGCTCACAACTCTTAAGATATTATCATAACTGCTGCATAAATGTGGTTTACACATAGACCTTGGGGAGCATTAAGCTGTTTGTCTGAGGCAATGTTCAGGATTGATGCACCTTATTTAAATGTAATCCTCTGTTTTTCAGCCCTCTGGTGTATCGGGCTCCTCTGCACCTCCTCCTTTAATTCGAGGAACGATTGCGAGCAATAAAGGCTCTCAGCAGGTTATTGCTTTGGTTCACCTCACATGAATAAAAGCACATTACTGGTGTGAAAACAAGCACATGCAGTGTTTAATACATTTCTGGGTTTTTCTCTAACCAGGTTTTGACAGGAAGAAGTTCAAGCACGGTCATTCCTCCACCTCTAGTTAGAGGAGGCCAGCAAGTGTCTTCTAAACACAGCTCCCAGATCATCATGCCACCTCTGGTTCGGGGGGCACAGGTGAGTCATGGGACAAAGCTTGTGCAACTTTTTAATTCTCTCTTTTTATATAATTGTGGATTTTTTTAGAACAATAAGCTAAACTAATGTTAAAAATGAAGTATTATAACTTGGACTTATGATTTCTCGTTGCTCCTCTGTCTCTTTGTCTGTGCTCTTGCTTTGGTGCTTTTGGTGTCCCTCCCCTTGTCCTCCACTTCCCTCGTTTGGGATATGACTCCATGTCCTCCCTCTCATTGTCTTGGTTAGCCCATCTCTGTATCTCCACAGCAGATCCAGGCTCTCCGCCTGCAGCAACAGCAGCAGCATTTGGCTGCATCTTCAGGATCAGGACCTCCTCCTCTGCTTCTGGGCTCCAGGACATCAGCCCCTGCAGGCCAGGGCCAGAGAGGCATGGCCCAGTCAGGCCTCATCAGAGTGGGCAGTGGTGCCAATGCACTGGTTGGTGTCTCATAAAGGAGTCAACGTTAAATATCAGGTTTTTGACTGGCAAGGAAATTTGTTGTCACATGTGTAGTTTGCTGCTTTAGCTTAGGCTTGAAACGGTGACAGTGTGTAGTTTCCTGGCACTAGGGGGCAGTGCATACATTCATTTCAGGGTAGTTTTACACCATATCTCTGTGGCTGTCACTAATAAAAAAAAAACATGATAAATAAATGTTGTTACCTGTGGAGTTGAAAGCATGCAACCTCTGTGTGACTCCTCAGACTTTGATGGTCCTTCAGTTAATTTCTATCGAGAGAATGTGATGCTGATTGCAGTTTTCTGGTGTTGTAGTTTCCGGAACTGCTTTGGGTCCTGTGCCTGCCGCTGACGTACGTCATCATAGTATGGCAATAACGCTCGGCCAAATTATATAGTATCTCTTTTTCGACTGTGTTCTTTCACATCAGTTTTGGAAATAGTTTTGTTATGAAATTCATGTTTCTTACTGCCTAAATGTTTTGAACGTGATAATGTAACTTCCGTCAGTCGTACGTCCAGCCAATCATTGAGTGTGACGTCATCGTCAGGCGCAGCCAGCCAGAATGAAACGCAGCATCTAAAGATGCGAGAACCGTGCCTTGTGTAATTTAGACCCTTTTTTATGATTATACGTTATGAAGCCACCAATATTTTTCAACAACTGGACTTTTTTTTTATTCATTATTGACAATGTTTTGATGGACAGTTTCAGAGATCAACGGTTAAAACTACATATTGTCTCTTTAAAAATGAATAAATGACATAAGAGCTGGTTGATGACCGTTTATAGTTTGCGTCGCATTTTAATTGCAAGTTCTTGGTCATCAGGTTGATGATTCTCAAAAACTGATGGATTTTCCTCTCTGCTTCTTTCCCAAGGCCTCTGGTTTGAAGGGCTCCTCAGGTAGCAGCAGCGTGTCTGTGGTAAGCATTAATGATTCTCCAGCCAGCCGTCAGGCTGCAGCAAAACTCGCCCTGCGGAAGCAACTGGAGAAGACCCTCCTGGAGATCCCCCCACCCAAGCCACCCGCCCCAGAGTTTAACTTTCTACCCTCAGCTGCCAATAATGAGTTCATCTACCTGGTGGGACTAGAGGAAGTGGTGCAAAATCTGCTTGATACCATCCACAGAGGTTTTTTTTTTTTTGCATACTTTAGATATAAATAACTAATTAACTGTTTTAAATGAAAGAATTGTCATCGATCGCTGTCATCCACAGTTATAAAGACTTTTTGTGGTTTTAAACTTGAGTGAGAAACTTCTGAGCACTTTTTTGTTTTTTTCTCGTTTTAAACACATTTCTTCTTTCCCTCCTTCCTACACAGGAAAGACGGGTTTACCGCTGTCCAAGTCCACGCTCAAAGACCCTTTCATCTGCACCCAGTGCAATACTGACTTCACCTGTCGCTGGAGGCAGGACAAGGCTAAAGGCGGGGTAGTGCTCTGTGAAGACTGCATGTCCTCCAATCAGAAAAAGGCTTTAAAAGCCGAGCACACCAATAGGCTGAAAGCTGCTTTTGTTAAAGCACTACAGCAAGAACAAGAAATAGAGCAGCGCATCATTCAACAGACATCTTCACCACTCTCCCTCAGTACCTCATCATCCTCTTCAACTGCCTCCTCACTGAAGGCAGAACAGCTGGTGTCTCAGCAGCTGAAGCAGGTTAGAGTGTCCTCCCTCCAGCACCACCATCAGGCCAGCCGGGGAGCCAACGTTGTTCACCATCACTCCATTAAGCAGGTTGGAAAAGCTTTCGTCTGTTTTTAGAAACATGGTGGGCTCGTTGCTGTAGTAAATCTGACTTCCTATTTGTCTTTGAACTCAGAGCTCGCTGGGCCACCTGTCCCACGGTATCACCTCAGTGGGGGTGAGAGGCGTCCCCCACTCTTTCTCGTCCTCCTCCCAGCTGCAGAGCGCAGTGGCTGCCGCAGCTTTGGTCAGCCGGCCAGGTAAGCACGCCCAAGTTTCCCGCCGCTCTGTCCAGAGTTCAAAGGTGAGCAGCAGTGGGATCGGCGGCTGCAGGAATATCAGCGGAGGTAGTGCCTCGTCCACTGCATGGAAGAAGCAGAGCAACAGCAACGCAGGTAGACTGGCATTAAAACCAGCCCAACTCTGGCGCCTGACATCTCTCTATCAGTTCCTGTCTGGTCCAAAAGCAATCCTTTACCCAGCTTCATCCAAAAGTCTGACACGTTTTGGAAAAAATTCCACCAATGTAAAATAATTCATTTATATTAAAAGTTGTAAAAGGAAATGTTTTCGGACAAGGCAACTCCACTTTCCTTCTCCTTTCCTGGAATTGATCCCTGTTTTCCTACTTTAGCCTCCTGCTCCGGTGGTTTCCTGTTTTCCCAGATGTCTTAAGAACATTAGAGTCGAAACTGTAACTTCTCCTTTATGTGTCTGTGTTGTGGTGACATGTGTGGCTTTATATTCAGTGAACAATTTACCGTTATTTATATATTCCACTCTGAAAACATTGAATTGAGCTGCTTGCCTGATGTGCTGCTGTGTTTTGTCTGCTCAGGTGTAACGATGGCATACGTGAACCCCAGCCTAACGGGTCACAAAACCTCAGCGACCGTGGACGCGCGCCAGAGGGAATACTTGCTGGACATGATCCCCTCTCGCTCTTCGATCTCCCAGACTGCAAACACTTGGAAATGAACAGAAAAACAACACTCAGCTTTTCAGAATTTGTCCACAAGTTCCTCAGCTCTGATAACGTGGCACACAGCGCCCCCTGCAGGACTGTTAAGCATCTACAATCTGAAAGTGAAGAAACGTTCCTTAATTTCCTTTGTATAATTTTACCTTTTAGTTTTCTCCATTTATGTTGTTTATTTTTTTGAAGTTCACGTTTTGTAAGAACTATACAAAAACTATTTTGACTTGGGTGAGACAAAGAAAAAAAAATACTTGAAGGGCTTCCCCTGAGCTTTGTCCTCAAGACTGGATAGTTACATTGTGAGTTGGGAGGCTATGTCTGCTGTGAGTACATCTTTATAAATGAGTACTCTGCTTTAGGCTGCTTAGCCTTATTTTGCCATTATATGGGTCAGATGGACCCGTCATTTTGACACTTGAATGATGACATAGTCATAACTCAAAAGTTCACTTTTTTTAGGTAAGAAAAAAATTTGTAAAATTTCCATTTCATCACCCGTATAGTTAAAGGTTTGAATTTATTTTATATTTACAGTAAATTATTTTATTTTGGACTGATGTTAAAAATCACTCGGTATAATGTGGCTTCCATGGATGAAGAGTTCATTCTCACTCGCTTTTTATTTTTATTTTTTATTTCCTGTTTGACAGCATGCCTATCCCTGCGCCTGTTTAGCAGCTGAAAAAGCACTGTGTCATTGCTCAGCTCATCTGTAATTACCATCTGTAATTTGCTTATTTTATATTGGTGTCACCTTTGTAAGCTCATTTGTTTGTATTCCATAACGTGGGATATATGCAACCCTGAGGCGGTTAGTAGAAATTAAATGACAGCTACAAAGACTTGGGCTTACACAAGGACAACTTGAATCCATCACCATCTTGTATAAGTTCTCTGCTTTCAAGTAATCTTAATTGCATTGTTCAAAGTTGTGTTCCTTTGGTTTACTTTTTTTTCCTAGCTCCTTAAGAAATAATAAATATATAAATTTTAAATATCTGCATTTATTTGTTGATTGACTTACAAAGGAAAATATCTCAGCTGACTATAGTGCAGTTATTTGGTGGTTTAAACAAAAGACCACGCAATCAAGCTAAAATAGTCTTATTCTCAATTTACTTCATACATTCAAGTAGCTTTACTTGGGGAGCTCTATAATGCTGCTGAAAAACAGGTTATAGTTTGAGCAAAGTATTTTTGATGCTTTCACAATGTTTATTGAAAATAAAACATCCCTTTATTGCACCAAATACACAAAAATCCTTAAAGTACTCAAAAAAATTTACATTTTAAAAATAAATATTAAAAGACTTGCAGATTTTTACATGGAGTGATAACATGAAAAGAGAAATGTGTAAATGAGATATGACTGGGTGCAAAAAATAACTGCAAATAACAAAAATGTGTGGGGGGCAGACAAAAATTTGAAGTGGTGGTTGTAAATTTTGACGTTCAGTAACAGTCCGTGTACTCATGCAGTCACTTAAGAAACTCTCCAGCTCCACAATGGCTTCATGTATGGGTTGGAGACATTGTCTCAGTGATGTTAGTTTTGCTAGTCCTTCCATCTCTCACCTGCACTGGATCAAGTAGGACATAGCTGACCACCTTAATGAGCTTATCTAATCTCTGTGTCTCAGCAGTAGATAAGGGCTTCCCAACTGCTCCCCCCAACTAACCCCACCAGAAAAGATGGCTGATGCCACCACTGAGTCAAACACCTAGATCACACCGATTGATTTATAAGGAAGCCATACAGAGTCAGGACCGCATCTGTTCCACATTTGGTATGAATGAAACTAAATAAGGTCCTTAGGAGCACTCCCCTGCATTCCAAAGGAGATCTCAGCAGCTAGAGTCAGCTCTGACCCTTTCTGAAAACAGCATCTGCATTATGGCTCCTGTCCATGGTGAATGGTGGAGTCCTCGGATGCTGAGGGGAGGGTGATGGTGAAGGACGGAGTCCTCTGGGCTGATAGGTCAGAGGAGGTTGGGAGATAAACTCGGTTGTGGGAGAGGAATGAGGGGATTGTGAAGGAGTGGCAGAAAAGGTGGGATTATATGAGCAAGGAGAGGCATTTATATAATGTTAAGAAGGAGGTGTTAGGGCATGGGGTGAATAGGGGCAATAGGAGAGAAGAGGTAGTTGTTACCAGGCTCAGATTGGGTCATTGCTCGTTGGACAAAACTCTAAAAATGATAGGTAAACGTGAGACTGGGTTGTGTGGAGTGTGACAGGAGGAGGAAGAGAGGGTAGAGCATGTAATTCTGTGGTGTAAGGGTTATTTTGTGGAAAGGGAATTTCTGCGGAAAAGGATGAGGGAGAGGGGTATTGAGGAATTCACACTGAAGAGCGTGTTGACGAGTTGTAGGGTGCAGATGAGGGATTTGGTGGAGTTTCTTAAGAGTGTAGGGGTTTTTCATGGGGTGTAGATAGGAATAGTTATTTTTGCTGTTGATAAGGAAGGGGAAAGAAATAGGGTGCAAAAGGGGAAAGAAGGAAGGAGGATTAAATGAGAGGGAATGGAGAGTGAAGGTGTAGGTTTTAGATTGTGAGCTCACTGTCTGGTCCATACTCCGGAACAGTTGGAGGCGGTAATGCTCCATTAAGCTGGTTGCCAACCGCTGCTAAACACCAAGTAGAAGAAGAAGGAGGGGCTCCGGCCGTATGGGGGAGCTGTGGAGCACCAGAGTCCGTGTCCCAACAGAAGAAGACTCCGTGGATCAAGCAGGCTGACGTTCGGTTCGTTGGAGGAGGCTGGATAAAGATGTCGGGCTCCAAGGTGAAGCAGGACATGCCTCCTACAGGAGGATATGCCCCCTTTGACTATAAGAGAAACCTACCTAAACGAGGACTTTCGGGTAAATGCGCATTTCCCTCACCTATTTACCTTCACAGACCCACGCAGCGGAGGTGAAATGTTGACCATTCACGTTTGTTGTCGGTGTGGCTAATGCTAGCTGCTCAGCGTCAACATGAAACTGATTATTCCAAGTCAGAATTAAACTACCCGGGGGCTTGAGGCTTGAATTGGTATGTTTACCTCTTAATTAAGAGGTAATTGTCAAATATCCGAGCAAGAAGGAAGTCTGTAAAATACCATAATCGCTCCATGAATCGTTTCTGACATCGAAAGCTAACTGGTGGCTAACACGAACCAGTGTTTAGTTCTCTAGTCATTAGTGTTCGGTCCAGAAGTGAAAATAACTAGTGTTCTTTTTAAGTGACCATTAGAAATAACCATAGGAAAATACCAAAGCTATTGTAAATTCAATACACAGTTGTACAATAATAAATAATATTGTTGTATTAATAAAAACATTTCCTCCTCTATGAATACAAGTTGACCATATTCCGTCTGTAACATCAGACCAACAAGAAGTAGTTATTTGAGCATGTAAAATTTTATACTAATATATTTTACAAATCAACAGGTTATAGCATGTTTGGCATTGGCATCGGTGTCATGCTGGTTGGTTACTGGCGAATGTTCAATTGGAACAGAGAGAGGCGGTAAGAAAATCTCAATTATGTAGCTTTCAGGTTGTATAGTAGTCTCATTTGAGCTGATGATAGTGGTATGTTTGGTTCGTATCACAGGCGCTTCGAAATGGAGGAACTGGAGACCAGAATAGCATTAATGCCTCTGATGCAGGCAGAGCTTGACCGAAGGTAAAAAACAACTTCATTTATCTGTTTTTTCATATTAATATCAGGAGCAACTAATCAGTTCTTTCATCGTTTTGGGTTTTCATTCTTCTAGTACCTTGAGGATGCTGAGAGAAAACTTAGAGGAGGAGGCGATCCTCATGAAAGATGTTCCAGACTGGAAGGTAAAGTTATTAAAATGCTCAATAAATTTAAAGAGTTCCTGTCAGCAGTTTGTTTTACAAAGCCACAAACTATCAGGTTAATTAAACAGCTCTTATTTTTGTGTTTATACAATAAAATGTATTTTAGATTGTTTTAATAAGTCGGGCAAATTAACATTTTATTGTGTCTAATTGGAATCCACTGATTTAGTTCTGTGATCTAACTCAAACTGTAATTTTAAAATGAATGCAGGTTGGCGAGAGCGTCTTCCACACGGACCGCTGGGTCACGCCTCTGACAGAAGAGCTCTTCAACCTCCGGCCACGCGAAGAGCTTTTGCACCAGAAATATGGCTTTGCGTGGTACGTGTAATCACAACTGGGGAAAAAAGCCCCTAGCCTCAACTTTTGTGTGAATTTTAGCCTTCGCTCACGTCACCTTGTAAATGTAAAATAAAACAACTTTTTTTCCTGTACCATCTCTGATTTGTCATCAATTTAGCTTATTTAATGTCTGACTCCAGATTATTTAAACCAACTTCGCGCATAGAAACCTTTTAAGTTCATATGTGTATATATAAATAACTCTAGATGGCACATTATTAAAAACTGGTCTGAGTACAGATGGACCCTGTTCCAGAATGATGGTAGAAGAGAGCCAGATGAAATGATGCACCCATCATGCCTAGTGCCTACTGTACAAGCCTGTAGGGGCAGTGCTATGATCTGGGGTTGCTGCAGCTGGTCAGCTCTAGGTTCAGCAACAGGATGTGGTCCAAGAATGAGGTCCGCTGACTACCTGAATATACCGAATGACCAGGTTATTCCATCAATCGATGTTTTCTTCTTTGATGGCAAGGGCATATTCCAAGATGACAATGCCAGGATTCATCAGGCTCAAATGGTTGAGTGGTTCAGGGAGCATGAGACATCATTTTCACACGTGGATTGACCACAGAGTCCAGTCCTTAAACCCATTGAGAATCTTTGAGAAGTGCTGGAGAAGGCTTTGTGCAGCAGTCAGACCATCATCAATGCAAGATCTTGGTGAAAAATGAATGCAACACTGGATGGGAATAAAAAGCTCCCTTCCGGTTTCTGAAATGGGAGTCTGAGAGCTTTTAAATCCTTAAGACTCACGGCAATTAACAACTGCAAAGGAATTTGGGAGAATTTATATATAATTTAATCTTTTAAAAAATCATCCAGTTTTTGAAAGATGCCATTATCCAAGACCAACTTTTAATTAGCTCAGCACGATATGCCCCTTCCTCAATGAGGTTTGCCTTGATAAACTAGCTGCAAGCTACATTTGAAATGTACAGTTTCAACTTAGCATGCTTTCAGGAGACAACTTACTGAGACTAATTTTAACAAGAATTTGCTATTTGTTACTACAAAACCAGATTTATACCCTCTGGTTGTATACAGGGTTCTTACACTTTTCCCAATGACAAATTCAAGCATTTCATGGTAAAAATTTGAACTGAACAAGCACCATACGGTGAAGACAAAACAATACATAAGGACAGTTTAACCTCACCTCACATTTATTAAAAGGGATCCTGATCATAGGATCGAAAGTAGGGCCTGATCACGTTATTTTAAAATTATTAGATTCAGATGAAAAAGATCAGAAATAACCTTATAAAGCAACTAATCAAATCACTTTTATTGTCACGTCACATGTGCAGGTACACTGGTACAGTACATGCAAGTGAAATTCTTGTGTGCGAGCTTCACAGCAGCAGAGTTGTGCAAAAAATATAACGTAAAAACAAGCAAAATATAAAAATGGATAATCTAAGTAATAATATATATAGTATGTAAGGTATATACATTACTAAATGTGTGTGCTAAGTTTTTTATTTTTCTACGTGAGTGTGTATAATGCGTATATACATATTTTACAAATGAATAAAGTAAACAATAAGAGATATAAAATATACAGTGGTTGGTATGTGCAAAACAGTGGCATTAATGTACAATATGGAGTGTGTAATGTTGGAGTTTCAGTAGTGAGGGTGAGGTGTCTGTGAAGTGTTCAGCAGTCTGATGGCCTGATGGAAAAAGCTGTCTCTCAGTCTGCTGGTTCTGGACCAGATGCTGCAGAACCTCCTTCCTGATGGAAGTAGTCTGAACAGTTTATGGCTGGGGTGACTTGAGTCCTTGATGAGCCTCCCTGCTTTCCTCAGGGAGGGAAGCTCACCTCCAATAATCCTTTCAGTACACCGCACTACTCTCTGGAGAGCTTTGCAGTTGTAACTAGCGTGACCTTTTAAATTTATCCTCAGACAGCTCTTCAAACTAAATAAAAATGGCTTAGTTTTAATTCTGACCTGCCCGCTTTTAGCTTTTCTAGTCTGTCACCTTAAAACCAAAGATACACTAAACACAAAATGCCTACGTACAGCAAAAACATAACCAAGATGGAAGAATATTAATCAGACTGGATGACTGTGTGGTTGCAAACCGAACTGCTTTCTCGTCATCATTCATCCACCACTACAGGTGTGCAGGGTAGAGCGAGCAGCTCTACCCTGGTAGCTGCAACATGAGTGCAGTCATGGTAATATTTGTGATGAGTGATGGTTTTGGGCAGCCGAACTGAGGAAATGACATGAAAACAGGAAGTTGAACCCTTTTAAAGTTTCTATTCCATTCTAAGTTACAAATAAAACATTAAAAATAACTAAATGAAGATGGATTGCTGAAAAGGTATCTGGCGCAAAATATTGTGATCAGAACATTATCTTGTAATATTTCACAAAGCAGGGACTAAATAAAAATAATATAAAAATATACAATTAAATCGAAGGTCAAATTTTGCTGTTTTTTTTTTTACCGCCGCCTGAAATATTTGGTTCCAACCCTCCCATCTGTAGACCTATTAACTGATAAAAAATACTATTTAATTATACTTGAATTTCTAGTAAAATAGCTGTCTATTTTCAATTATTAAGAGTACAATCTAGATTAGGATAACTTAAATTGGAATTACAAGCAGATGTCATTGCATATTTTACATTAAAATGGTTTTCCCCTTTTTTCCAAATTCATTGCTGCCAAGATACTTAAAAACATACATATATCAATTTATGGCATAATTTAAATTTAAATATAAAATGCAATCAGGCACACTGGTTAACTGTAGCTGCACAAAAAGCCATTCTGTATTGAGTGAGGAGACCCATCCAAAATGACAGCGACACTAACAAATAAAAATACCCCCTTTAAGAATCAATCGTTTGTTCTCTAGTTTGGGTCTAAAAACAATGTTTCCCATCCAACTGTCTTGGCTGTTCATAAACTCAATTAGTTCTTCATGCATTTTTAAAGACTCAATACAAAAATTTTACCATATTAAGTAAAACCAATTCCAAAAATCCCACAAAGATATTGTTCCACAGCTTTATTAAATGATACAAAATGAACATTTGTTCCACTTCATGTAGTTGCTCCCATCCAATACGCCCATGCTGCATCCAGGACCTAGAACACAGGCAAGGTAAGTAACTTCCAACAGAACTTAATTCAAACATAATCCTAAGATGTACCTGATGCAGCATCTGTCAGGCATCACCAGCGACTGCACAAGCGACGCTTCGAGACATCTAGTCAACCTTCAGGTGGTCCTCTTACTCTGAAGAGTGAAATAATAGATCAAATCTGGGCAAATTACAAGTCTTACGGTGTAACACTGCATGCAACATGATACATTGTAGTTTTAAAGAGAAAAGCACAGAAAGAGCCTGAGTGTATATAGTCTTGGGAGTGCTAGAGAATTGCTAAGGAACTGAGCAACAATGAAGTGGACTGAGCACAATGTTATCCATGATTTAAGAGGCAATTTTTTGTGGACTTTGGGAGACCAGAAGAGCTTTAGAAACCGTTCCTCCTCCCTAGATGGACTTAGAATACGGGAAGAGGCCATGGCATGTTTGTAGGAGACATCTGAAGCAGAGGATGTAAAACTTGAGGTAGTCATGGAAACATTTAGAACTGGACTTAAGGATGTGAGCAACAAAAGGAGCTTTACCTCACGTGCATTGGCCTACTTTCTTCACATTTGACTTAGGCAAGAGCAGCTTTTCATCTCTGAGCACTTGTTGGCAGACGCAACACTTCACTCTCCAAGGGCTTGGAAGATTTTTGAAGGAGCAGAGTTTTTGAACGTTATGCAGCAGTGACATGAAAATAGGACGACCCCCACCATCTCCGTGTACTTAAATACCCCAAACCTGAGCCAAGTTCCTCAATGAAGACTTCACAAACAGATCAAATGAGAGAACCTAGATTTTTACATGTAGCTGTGGTATTAAGCTAATCTCAAGTTTAGCTTGTTCAGTAGTGCAAGTGGCTGTCCTTCTCCAATCCAGCAGGATCAAGAGCCATTAGTTTTACTTCCCCATGCGATCATTTTGAACAGGCAACGGAATCAGGATCATTTTCCACATTTTGTTTAATAGGCTCCATGAAGCCAACGAACAGGAAAAAAAAAAAAAAAAAAAGTTGGATCATACAAACATAAGTACAAAAATGTTCCCATTTATATTTAAACTCTGAAAAACGAAGTTACATTTGCGATCACTTTAGTCCATTTTACAGCACATAAACTGCAGAGCACAGAAGATACCTTGGACGGACTGTAGCATGTTGCATTTTGCAACTTCATGAACAGCCGGCCGCTTCGGAAGTGTAGTTCACCAGTCTGGAAGGAGTTCTCTTTTGGGAAATTTTAACAAAAGCTTGGACAAACTAAGGTTCTCATGAAGGAATTTAACAATTAAAATCCCAAAAGTTCTAGTTAAGAGCTCCTTACTCAGTTAAAAATAAAAAAACCAGGAGGTAGGTCAGTCTTAGGCTAAAGAAGAAAAAAAACTTTAATTTAGAAACTGTATTGCTGGACAAAAGAAATCTCCAGCCACTGTAGCCGATTTACCAGAAGCCATGTGGAGAATTGTTTCAGCCCAGGACTGTACAGGAGTTCACACAAAGTCATGAATGATCAGAGGATGCCCAATCAAAGATCTCTGAACTGCATTTGTAACATGGTTTTTACCAAAATTCAGTTTCTTCTGATGCCAAGCTACTACAACAGAACTACATAACTAAAGTCAATAACACGTGGACATTTTTCTTGAGGAGCGCAGCTTTCAAATACAGCCAGCCAAGTGATGGATCTTGAATCAGGGTGACGTTTACTCGTGTGCTGGAGGATAAGAAGTGGGCACAGGTAAAGACACTGGAGTTTTACAACATCCCCTCAACCCATCAGACCTAATCTCAAAACTCCTTTTTTAAGAGGCTCCGTCAGTTGAGAAATGAGCAGTTTGAGAAGGCATTTGAGTTGGTGCTTTAGTTTCCGCCAGTCTTCATGTGAAACCGGGCAAAACTGGCAACAGAGGCATTTACTTGGGCTCAGGTACAAAACTGAAGGGCACACTTATGAGGCAGGAAATGCTAGGGCTGTGAAGCTAGCCTGAAGGTCCCTCAGATGAAGTCCATCAACATACTTTTTACAATTCATGTAAACATTCTGTAGAGTCAGCCCCAAACTTGAACTATTCAGTTTAACTACAGCTTACCATAGCTGTCGTATCCATCACGATAGGATCCTGATCGGTCACCATATCCACCCTGTCCCCTGAAGGTCAGAAACAGAAGTAGTTAGTGCTGTGGTCCCTCCTAAAGTGCAAATAAAGATCTGTTGTCCGACTACTGACCTGCTCTCTCTGTAGCCGCCTGAGGAGTATCCTCCTCCACCACCTCCACTCCTGTATCCACCACCAAAACTCCTATCACCACCACCGAAGCTTCTGTCCCCATAACTTCTGTCTCCATATCCTCTGTCGCTGTTGTATCCACCTGTTAAAGACACTTTGTCATAGTACTGCAAAGGGACATTATAGAAAATATTGGTTTATATAAGTGTGTGGATATTTTTGAAGATAGAAAACATGTACTAACCCTCACCTCTGGAGAAGCCTCGTCCGCCTCTCCCCCGGGACCCGCTGCTGAATCTGCCGCCTCGTGGCCCTGAGCTGAATCCTCCTCTGGAGCGTCCACCTTTCCCCGCTTCATCAACACGAATGGCACGACCATCCAGAGTCTAACGGAGAAAATTGCCATAACATTACAAACATTTACATACCAGTTAATTTGCATCAATAACCCTTTCCCACAATCCCAACTTACCTTTCCGTTCATGGCGTCCAACGCATCCTTTGCATCATCAACATTGTCGTATTTGACGAAGCCAAACCCACGCGACCTTCCAGTCTCTTTGTCTCTGATCACATCAACTAAAAAAATAAAAATAAAAATAAAGCACAATTTAATGCAATAGAATTTAAAACTTACGTAAAACAGAAAAAAAAAAACAATGCGGCGCTTCTACGTTCTTTACCTTTTTCGATGGTTCCATATTTTCCAAAGGCGGCGGCCAGAGAATCCTCGGTGGTCTCGAAGCTCAAACCTCCGATAAATAACTTGCCTTCGTCAGACATTGTGATCTTAAAAAAGAAAAAAGTTTTAAATATGACAATTTCCTTAATTGGTTACAGAACTAGAGCAGGGTGACGCAGCATTAAAAAGTAGGTCACCATGCCAGTTACAAAATGGCGAACACGTTGCGCAGATCCGCAGTACAGTTCTGCGATTTAGCGGCAAGTTAAAACACGACAAAAAACAAATGGGAACCTCTTTGGTGAACGTAAATAATTGCTAACAAAAAGAATAACGCATTTTTTACTATCTGCGGAGCCATAAATATGCAAAATATTGAATGGAAATCGAGGCCAGATGGCGTGCTCTTCCTTCCGGCGCCATCTTGTAGCATAGCGCTTCTGTCTTCTTTGTTTCAGTGGCCCACTTAGCATGTAGCTCATATTTCCAACACGATGACCCACTTTCAAGGTTACGTAAATAGGCCAGTACATCAAAACATAGGCAAACTGCTTTTACATATTTTTAGTTAAAACGTCGTAATTCAGCAGACTAGGTCGGCTTTTTTGCTACATAAAAAACACGAGTTTAACGGTTTTATCCAATATCTCAGAAATAAAATACCTAATATTCACGAATCATCAACGCACGCACAGTTATTTTTAATTATATTTTTCAAACTTAATGAAATTACGCGGAAAAAAACTTTACCTTTTGTTTGAGCTTGTGGGAGCGACAGAAACGGAGCTAAGCAGCAAGACGAGTGAGGAAGAGGAAGAGGGGCGCTTTCTTTTAAACCTTTGCTGCGCTTCTTCTGGTGTTTCGCAAATTTTAAACTCATTACTGCTTCCTACTGGTCAAAGTACGGTATTACTGCCAGTTACGATTACTTAGGATGCGTCTTTGTTACTACCTATCTGTACAATTAACTGTTATTTGGTTATATTTGTAAAACACTGACTGCTTGTTGCTAGTAGCAGGAATGATAATGTAGTTTAGTGTAATTTCTAAATGGAGGTTCCCTTTGTGAAACGCAATCATTGTAAATCAAAAATATCTGTTGATTTAGTTATTGGGAAGTTACACGTTTAATAATATTTTAGAATTTTGTAAATTTACCTATTCAATTGTATTTTTTAAGGAAAACTTGCTCAAATCATCACATCCATTGAACATCTGACAATGTATTATAAAAAGGAAATAAATTAAGAGATCTCATGAGATATTGTGATTAATAAAAAAAATCAAGGATATTTTAAAAGGGATTTTCTAGAGATTGCCTTGTGACACAACCTGTCCAGGGCGTACCCCAGCTTGTTTGCCCAAAAGACAGCTGAAGATAAGCACCAGCAGGTATAGAAAATGGATGGATGTTCTACAGCAGTTATGAGTAGTCAGCATATCTCACCTGCAGAGTGGTCTCAGTGTGACGAATCAGGGAGAAATGTAGTGTTGCGTCATCCGAAAGAGGTCAGAGGCAATTTGTCCTTTTCCTGATGGTTCAAGCGAATCATCCTAATAATAAATAATACTGAGAAAGCTATCATTTTGATCTGTAACGGCATCTTTGACTCACAGTTTGAAAATTCAGTTTTCATTTATTTGGTTGCATGTACATCTTATTTTTCTTTCAGAAATGTGGACTTTATCTTAGACAACACAAAAAAACTGTGAAAAAAATAAAACAGTCTGGTGAGAGCAATTCTTGCTCTGCATTCAAGGTAACAAACAAAACAAATAATTTTAATGTGCAATTTATTTTTTATACAGACAAAACCATGGCTGAGTTGAGATGAGATGAAGACACACATGAGATTTGGAGACAAAAAACATTGATTTTAGACAGCACTGTGCACATTAAAGGTCTCAGCAATGAGGTAGAAACCCAAACCAGTGGATCACCCCACCATTTATATTTACAGTGTGATGATATAATTATCAGCTACATTCATTGTTCCTACATCCAGATTCTTCATCCCTCAGTCCATCAGGGCTTCTTGAAACCACCTGGTATTTATCCAAGAGGCTGAAGATAGGAGGAACCAAGAGAAATGCTAGCAAGAACCAAAAAAGTAATTAGCATCCAAACAGACACGAGTGTGACAAAACCTCATAACACACATTTCACAGAGGACTACATAAAATACCACAGCCCTTTACTGGTAAGAAGCTCTCCTGCTGAACCTTTTTTCGTTGACAACACTAGAACAATGGCGTTGACGGGGTCTGGGGTGATGAAGTTGTGGACTCCTCCGAGTCCTCCTGCGGAGACGCCTCCGCTGCATCAAGAAATGAAGACGCTCTAACTTACACTGCAGCGCATTGATCTCCTCTAAGGATGAAGGCAGCAGCTCATCACCTGCAGGAAACAGAAGAAACAACACATTATCCATGATTAGTTTACTTTTTTTTTGCTTAAAAAGAATTTTTGTGTTATATTTTTGAATTTTTTGTTGCCAACACAAAAGAAATGCATTGATCTGAAAAGGGTTGTAAAAGCTGAAACGTCAAATTGATTAAACAAATTTCAAGAAATCAAAAATTCAAAGCAACAAAGTGACCATGAATGGACTTCCTGAGACCATTTCGGGCCTGTACAACTCCTGTGGTGTTGCATGACCATATATGGTTCTCTAAAACAACGCAAAGTTTCTAACTTGTGAATTCAGGTTCCTGGGTGTTTGCACCTACGTGATATGCTTTAATTTCCAAGTGCAAATCTTTGAAAAGCTGGATTTACATGATTTAATCTTATGTGTACATAATTTCATGCTCTCAGTGTGAAAGTGTTCATACCTTTGAGTTCTGCCCTCCTAGTTGGTGGTCTGTTTCTTGCTTTGCAGGGCTCATCTGAAGAGGGGTGGTTGACTGCAGGGCTGGAGGTTGGACAGTGATGAAGAGGAGAAGTTGAAGCCCCCTTGTGGTGGTAGGCAGCTCTGAGGAGGTCATTGAGGATTTGGAGAATGACTGAAATGCCACGACGAGGATGACCGACGTCGCTTTGACTGCAAGGGGTCAGTGTTCCTGATAGAAAAGGAAGATTATGGTTAAAATACAACCTTTAAAAAAATCACCCTGGTAATATATTGTATGTAAACTTGTGTTACTTCAAATCTGACTTACCAGAAAACGTCCCAGAAAAGACGCCTGGAGAGTGACTCTCAAAACTCTCAATGACTGCTCCTGGCTGCTTTGGCAGATTAATATCAGTCAGTATGGAAAAAGTAATAAACCCCCACAGTGAAAGAGGGTTAGAGTAATAATAACGTAACAGGGTGCCTGACCTGTGTGAAGGTCGAAGCTGCTGCTGGACTCCGAGGCTCTGGGATGGAGCTGCTGGGTTTGTCTGAACCCACTGGTGTAGTCGCTTGCTGTAGAAAGCTGGAATGAGGAAAACCCGAGAGCGAAGGAGGCACGTGATCGGTGTGTGAGTGAAGGCTAAAGCGGCTCAGAGGTGAGACACCTGCGGAGAATAATGAAACTTTGGGTCTCTGAGTGCTACAGTGGGGAGACAATGAGGAGGAATGTGACAGTAGAGTTGGACAGAAAGTCTGTGAGGTAGAGGAGCTGGGGCAACAGTCGGATGTCTTTGAGTCCTCATCCTCCTGCAGCTTCTTCACATTCTGTGTCAGCTGGAGCTGCACGTGCATCGTGTGGGCGCCAGTTCCAACGCTGAGGGCCAGAGGCGAGCGCCCAGACAGGAAGTCATTAATCTGCAGGACAGTCAGAAAAGAGAAGGGTTTTAATGTTCCTTCAAGTTTCAATCATGTGGAGGGAACCGGGAGCAGCTTGGATTGGTGGAAGACAAGGGAAATCCCAGAAAACCACTGGAATTTTATTTTAGTACCCATGTCCTATTGATGCGCCACTGAACTGAAACAATCCCCAAAACTGAAGATAAGGAGACTGTTTGGGGACTATTGTCAAGATTTGTGTTCAGAAAACGTGAAAAATATCGTAAATCCATGATGCTAATTTAGTAGGGATGTTCAATATTATCGGTCTACCATTAATATTAGCATTAAAAATTAATATCGGAAAATATCACTATTGGTTATCAGACATTTTATGAAACAACCTTTACACACAGTTATGGTCGGCAGTAGAGCTGGGCGATACGGCCTTAAATCAATATCACAGTAAATGGACAATAACCATCAGTAAATGGAGATAACCATATACGCAGAAACAAAAGTTGTCCACTAGATGGGGCTATCACATGAATTACACGGAGTCACATTTTTACGTGACTCAAGGTGGTACAGCTTCTTAAAGGGACATACTGTACTTACACACATCTTTTCATTTTTTTTATTGGTACATTCTTTCTGTGTTTGGCATCTAATTCCATTTTTGGTTCTTTTTAAAACACAGGAAAGGTTTCTCTTTGCCTTGCTGACAGTTTCGTTTGCCGACTGCAAAACATCCTCAGAGCTGACGCTGATGGTGACGTCACTTCCTACTCCGTTTATCCGCGGGCAGCAGAGGACGTTGTTGCCCTCTGCTGCCCGCTCTCCCCTCTCCGATGATGCAGTCCCATGCACGATGAAATGTGTAGACCCCATCGTGTCTGTTCATGGTCCCACATCCACGTCTCCTTAACTCTATAGCTTCCTTTATCCATCTTTTCTATTTCTGTTGTTTGGTGTTTATGATCCTTGTGTTGTCCCAGTCCATTACATGGTTTTCTCTTGTGCAGTGATCCGTTACGGCTGACTTCTTTATTGTGCTTTCTGCTTCTTGTTTTGCTGCTCTTGTGTGTTTTCGACTTGTTTTCTTCTCGCACTCCTTTCTATGTTCTATTGTTCGTGTGTTGAGTTGGCGTCCGGTTTCTCCTATGTATGTTTTATTGCAGAGTTTGCATGGGATTTCGTAAATGACTCCACATTTAAGTCCAGCTGGTATCTTGTCTTTTGGGTGTACTAGTCTGTTTCTAACTGTTGTGTATGGTTTTGTTGGTGTGTTTATGTTGAGTTTTTTCATTGTTGCTCTTATTTTTTCTGTGATGGGGTTAGGGTTAGGGTTTGATATTGTTTAGCCTTCAGTTGAAGTGATTTCTTAATTCTTACAGAACTGGTCTCAGGCCTGGGTGTGGTTAATGAAAGCAAACTCAACATAATTTGGTCATTCACTCATCATTTAACAAGGAGGGTTACCTTTTCACCCCAAATCAGGGCGTGATATTTTTCATTCAACAAAACCATACATCGAAAACTACACCGGGCTGTCTTTGTTGGATTTTAAAATGTAAAATTTATGTGTCAAAAAATCAAAACAACATATTAAATCTGTTTTCACAGCCCTGTGTATTCAATCAGACTCAACAAGAGCATGTCCAACCTCCATCCCATAACTGAATCACCCACCTGTAACCACATCACTGAAGTTTTCAGATAAGCTTTGACACCAAAATAGTAAATAATACTCTCAGTTCTCCCTGGTTTTTATTTACACACAACTAATATGTCCCAGGAACACATCACAGTTTCCACTCTAAGACTTTCCTCACATCATCTTAGGTCCGAACACATTTCCTCTCACCTGGGTGTCTGTTAAACTCTCCAACATGTCCATCACTGTTGTTTTTCTTGAGTTCGAGCAGCACTGTAAAGCATAAAGTACATTTTGTTGCATTTATTGTATTTTTCCATAAGTAAACAATGAGCATTAACTTACAGTCAATCCTGTTTCAATAGTTGGGACTAGAGTCAGCTTGCTGCCATCGCTTACACCCTGCTCCATCAGCCTCCCTGCAGTCAGGTGCCTGTAGGAACAGATGAGTTCATAATGAAATAAGAGCAGAAACACCCAGACTCTGACTGCAGGATGATGTGACTCACCTGTCTCTGTGCACCAGGACCATCCTGTCTGTTTGCAGCCTGAGTTTGTGGGAGATTCGTGTCCTCAGGCTCTCCAGGGTCTCCCCTCGGGGCACGGTGAGCTCCACCGGGCTACCAGTAGTAGAAGTGATGGACAAACTCATGGTGGTCGAAGCGGTGCAGACTCCAGCACCGCCTGCAGACCGTGGAGGGGTGAATCCGAGATGCTCCATCAGGAATAACCGGTTTAAACCAGATCCAAGCAGCCGGAAGTGTTTTCTTTCTTCTTTACGCGGAGTATATCAGTGAGGAAGCCGCTGGGGTGAAGGAGTGTTACTCCGAGAGTAAAAACACGCCGAACGCGTCAGAGAAGAATACCCCGCCCATCGACCACAGACAGCCAATCAGAGACAGACACAAGGCCGTTGAGCTCAGACGGACCAATCAGAGGAGTCCGTCTCCTCCCTGATTTGTTCTATCTTCACCATTCACAAATGATGCAAACCCCGTAACAACATTTAGTACAGGATGTCGCAATGTCGAAATATTTGAATTAATAAAATAAAAATCAAATGAAAATGAAGAAAGATAAATATCTGAGAATCATAAAGATAAGTCACAAACAATAATTAAAAAAACTCATGATTTTAGTGATATTTGTGCTTTTATGGGGTGTAGTTTACCTTCAATTTATCAAACCCAAAACATACTATTGCATGTATGGACCCTCAGATGCATTATTATTGCTTTTTTATGCTTGAGCCGATGGGAGGAGACGCTGACGGAGTGTACCAGCTCTTTGTTTTCTGCAGTCGCTCACATGTCGCCGCAGCTGTCACATGATGCTTCGAGTAAAACGTGACGTAGTGAGCTGGTGGAGTAATGGCACTAAAGTGTCTCCTCAGTGTCCAAAAATAGCTGCACCAGCCCCTGATTTATAGTCTGTCATGCTTTTATTTTGAAATAAATGCAGAGAGGTAGTGTTTATCACCTGAGATGATTTTTATTGATCTCTTTCTTACAGCTGTTTCAATTTTTAATCTCTATTTTTCTGAACTCTGAGATGCTCTAGAAAAAAAGACCAGCACTGGAAATGTCATGTAAATATTTGTTGCTCTAAACCCAGAAGGAAGCTCTCCCAAGCCCTCCTCAGATGCCTTACGATATTTTGCTTGAGAGCTCGTCTTCTTGGAACTTCTCCTGCATCCGTTTCTGTCATCCAGGATTTTAGCTGTGATGAGCGAGATGGGAGAGGCCGCTGCTTTGCATTCCTCGAGCCTCAGCGAGAACAGTTCCACAGGATGTCCTGCTTCTTAGAGCATGCACAGACGCAGCGCTGACGTCAAGCCTGGCAAGACACACACACACACACACACACACACACACACACACACACACACACACACACACACACACACACACACACACACACACACACACACACACACTTCCTTCGCATTCCTCACCCCTGAGTGGCCTCTCTTGGTACCCTTTCCCAGAGGTTTTCAGTGCTTGTCATGCTTTAGATATCCTGGAATTGTAGGTCAAACTGTTCCATTTAAGAAATTTGGTTCTAATAACTGTAGAATTTCCCAAAATATGTGTGGCAAAAATGACACAGTTTGATGAAAAGCCAAACAGCTTTGTCCATTTTCTGTAAGCCTGTAATAGGAATCAGTGCCGGAGAGCCAAACGTGTACATTTGTTCATTTAGCTTTCATTCAAAGCAGTTTGCAGTTTTAACCTAACATGCACATTTCTGGTGATCTGTGGGGAGAAACTGGATTATGCAGGGAAAGCACGCACATGCATGAGGAGAACGTGCTAACTGCACACAGAAAAGCAGCAGATAGGATCTGAACTTGCACTCTTCTTGCTGAAGCAAACTGCACCATCATGCACCATAGTTACATGATAGAATATGCAGTTAGATACAAAATAAAATGAAATGAAATAGAATAAAATGATCTTTCCCACTGATTTCACATGTTGGCTGCAACCATTCCTCATAAATTAACTCAAAGCATCTGAGCAGCACAAACCATCAGCTCCTGACACCAGGATACCTTAGGCAACAGCTCCATGACTGATTTTGTTGTCATCTCATCTGATCATGTCTTGAACACTCAGGTGAAGAGAAGGGCAGAGCTGTCAACTGACCACCACCTGGTGAGTTGGTCTGATAATTGACAGAAGACCTGTCTGCTGGGAGCGTTTGGTAGAGTCTGCTGCAAAAGGAGACAACACCAAGATCTGGGCCTCTCTGCGCAGGCTGCTGCCACTGCGACCCGACCTCGTGTAAGCGTAGGAAAACGAATGCACGGATGGATGATACCAAGACGTCCGTGTGTGCAGTATCCTAAAATGTGTAGCTGTTATAGAAGAACTCAGATATTAAGAAAAAGGGAAACTCTTTGCTCCTGCAGTTTTGGAGGTTCAAACCTGCTGTGTCTGTTCACCCAGG